TCTTGCCCACAAATGAGTGGCAGGGAATAAGGTGACCCACAGCATTTCCAAGGGGCAGCCATGGACCATACTCGAACACCAATTAACATTGTGCCCACAGGATCACACCTCAAAAGTAATTACGAAACGAATGTAAGTAGAATGTCAATGTTGCTGGAATATGGAACTCAGTGAAAAGAGAGTATATAAGTCTTTCCCATCAGTGTATACACTGGTGTCCAAAAGTTAAGAATATTGTAAAATGTGGAAATACATGAGTAAATATTAGTTAAAGTCTGAAAATCACTGTTTGAAGGTTGAAACTGTGCACATACGCAAAACATTTTAGTTTACGTCGGCATGCGGAAAACATGTGCGCACGTCAGAAAGTGAGTCTAAAATTACAATTGAGGCAAAAAATCTGGCATACGGAGACCGGGCAGGTTGTGTGTAATTGCTATGCTCAGGAGCGAGTTAAACGATCAAAAAGGCCAAAGGCTAACCCAAAGACGCCAAATGGACATGGCGTTGAAAGGATGAATTATTGAAATGCTGGAATGTGGAAAATCTCAAACAGAAGTGTCTCAAACTCTGATTGTGCCACAGTGTGTGATCTCAACACTGTGACAGATGTTTTACAATACGGGAGATGTTACCCAACGACCAGCGGAAGGTCGAACAAGAGTAACAACTATTCATCAAGACCGATATTTGGCAATAAAATCGCGATGTCAGAGGGGCAGTTGTGCCAGAGAACTTCACTCAGTGCTTACAGCCGCCACCTTTGTACGAGTTTCAAGGGAAACTGTTTATAGGGGACTCTTATCATGCTGGCCTGTATGTCAGACAACTAGCCGTTTGCATTTCGCTTAGGTCTGCTCATAAACGCACTTGTTTAAACTGGAGTTTGAAACATCAATACTGGAGTTTGCAAGAGTGGGCCAATGTGATGCTCAGTGAAGAGCCGCAGTTTACTTTGAACACAGATTCTCGTCGGATAAAGATTTGGATAGAATGTGGAACTTGTTTTCACCCAAGAAATATCACGGAAAGACGCTATTTTCCTTCAAAGGGAGTCATGGTGTGGACAGGCATAATACTGGATGGCCATACTGGATGTCTCCATGTCTTTGACACGGGGTATGTTACTGCTTAAAGGTACAGAGATGAAGTCCTTGGACCTTATGCTCGCCTTTTTCGAGGTGCTGCCGGTCCTCAATTCATAGTCATCGATGATAATGCGCCCTGTTACCGTGCGATCCTGGTCAACCACTTCCTTGAAAGTCAACAACTTCCTTGAAAGTGAATACCTTGAAAGTGCGATCCTGGTCAACAACTTCCTTGAAAGCGCATGCAGGGGCTCGATCACTTTCCTGATCTTAGTCCAATTCAGCATATGTGGAATATGCTCAAGAGACAAATTGCAGCCCTTCCGCACACACCAAGCTCCGTTAGAGAACTGAAAAGAGTTGTCGTTAATGCATGGAGCTGTTTGAGGCCACAACTCATAGCAAACCGTTTCTTTGGACAGTAAAAGTGATTAATATTCTTCATTTGTATTGTTTTCTTATGGTATAATTATATTACACACACATATCATTTTCCCGACATTCTGACTATCCTCAAACATTCAGTTCCTCAAACACTGACACAAATACTGACATAACAACATTCAGTTCCTCAAACTCTGACATAAACATCAATTATGCTTAACTTTTGGATACCAATGTATAACACCCTATTTTACGCGGTACATAATGAATCATAATCCATTGAGTTACTTCCAACGCAGTGATCTTTGTCAATGTAGAGACACGCTCTGACTTGTCTTCGACTTTCTAAAGCACCAATACTGCATCAAGAAATTGTCATCATTTAAAAGGCATGCATAGGTTCACAGTTTATCTAAAAATAGTTATATGCTTAAATGCTAAAAATAAATAAATAAAAAAGAGGAACATTAAAAAAATCTTAAAGATTTCAGATTTTAAATTACGTCTAAAGGGGCGTTTTTTTAACATTTTGTGTGTTCAAGAGCAAAATTCAGTTCAAGAGCAATATCGCAAAATAATTTTAAATTTAACATATCTTTAGAATTCCGGATACACAGTCTCGTGCGCTGGAGATAAAACATTTTTTCTGTACAAAGCTGCCATTGCTCGCTTTGAAATCCTTAAGTTTGTTAATCAAAACTCAAATTTCATATTTTACAAAACATGAAATTGATAATAAAACCAATTCCAAATTTAAAATTTGGGCTTCTAGATGCCAATATTCGCAAGAGAATTACGTTATTCAAAATTGGACGGCTCTAGGTACCGTTGTTTTATCACTATGCGAAAAACATACATACATTTATGCAGATTCTTCATTATTTAATTTCTTTAAATGTAACACAGGACGATAATATTTGGTGCAACAATTTAAAAAGTAAAAGAATGCTTGTAATGAATCAACACAAAATGCCAAAACGAAATTAATAGTCCTTCTGGGCAAATTGCCTCTTTGGACTAAAAAGAGTGCACTAACCTATGAGTGATTTTCTTTGGGATCTCAATGAAATTTCCTGATACACGAATGCCTTTAAAACACTTAAAATTATATTTCATTGTATTCTAGTACTTTACTTGAATTAAACAGACTGCAAATAAGTACTGTAATTGTGTTCAACATGGCACAGTGTTAATTATACAAGTATTGCATATATGAAACGGATTTGTGAATTGTATTTTGATAATGGATATATTTCTAAATATGGTATAGTATTTTTATACGGGTTGAGGTGCTAAGCTGTCCACTAATATGATGTTTGCAAAACTATTATGAACTGTATAATGAAGAGTATTTGAAATATTTGTAATTAATGGTATTTTGAATTACATTGTTGTGTAAAATTATTCCTATAATTGTATTGTGATTTGTAAAGCATAATGTTATAATTAAAGTGATAAGTATTGTAATATTCTATATGCATTTATTTTGTTACATCTTCTTAGAGGTTTATGTTTTTAAAATTTCATTTAATTAATTTATTTATTTGGTATAAGTGTTTTACCAGCAATGCCAATAAAACTTTTTCTCCTTAGCAAAAAAATGTCTTCAAACAAGTTGTAAAAGGGTTTTTTTTATTTGTTTTTGCAAATGGATCAAAGAGTTTCCATTTTAAAACACTATTGGCAGTTCATCTTAGATAAGTTTTGTATATTTTAGAATGAAATTAGGACAATTTTTTAAAGAGAGTATAAACTCCAAATAATTTATTATATATTTGCAGTTAATTTTTTTAAACAACCTAAAATATAAATACAAAACATGAAGTCATTTATCTCCTATTTTCTGCAAGATAACTTTTGAAAGATGTACAGTAGAATCTAAATTCTCATTTCAAATTGATCGAAATACTGCCCTTATTCTATGCTTTATTCTATCCACTGCCATTTCTTATAACTTTAAAGTTATCTCTCCTTTTCGTATTTTTAAAAGAGTACGAAATATAGGTAAGTTATAAAATATTTTGTATATAACATCTGCGTTTCATAAACTATTCCTCATATTAACATATTTGAGGCTCACAGAATTAAAAACTATAAGCTGAATATACATGTAAAATTGTACACCTCTACATTCCTTACTTTTTTATAATCTTGCAAGAAAATAAGAAATTGAGAAAATCAAGTTTAATGATTAAAATTTTACTACCTATAAGAAAATACATATAAAAGAATTTAAAGTGCAACCCCTTCGTATGTAGGGCTTTCTAAAATCATCACGCGTAGCTTTTTTTCTCCATATTTTAGCAATATAGGCCTGTAGTCTGATTAAATCTTTGTTCTTTTCATATGTTTATAACCAGATTGCAAAACAAACGTAGCGGAAAAGGCCAGTCTTAAAACCAAGACATTTCATTATGCTGATTTGACAAAATATTCCTTCATTAAAAAGTCTCCAATTTATATGATGCTGTAATATCAGATCTCTTAGCTTCCCCTCAAAATGGGTTGAAAACGATAGGCTTAGGGTTGCCAGATTTCATGCGAAATCATCCATTTGGCGGTATGTAACAGATGGAGAGAGAGAGCATTCTACAGCGCATTGTTAGTGGTTTTCTCGGGAATATTCTTGAAGGTAAGTTAAAGATATATATATATACCCTGCCTGAACGGGGAGAAAGTACTGTCTTGAGTTCAGAGATTAGCTTGAGAGCGATCGACCGAATCGGGAGTTGTACTTTAGTGCTTTGCTGTGAAGCTGTCTTCACCGTTATAGCCTGAAGGCTGTGCTGCTGATTGCATCAACGTGTTTGATTACTGCTATGACACATTCATTTGTTTAGGATGAACAAGTGTTTCAAAGCCTGCTTTATCAATGAATGAAAACACACGATTTTTTCTTGCTTTTGCAAAAAGAACTCTAAGTTGTTTGTTTTCAATAACCGATCAGCTATCAGCATCGAATCTCCCATCATCAACCATCATTTATAACAGAGAAGTAGTTTCCTGTTTACATGGTATCACTCCTGTGATCCCGTTTTATATTAAGTGGCCAAAATTTCCCTAAACATTTGTTTTTCCGAAATGTTTTGAATGTGTGATACGACATTAAGACACCATTCTAATGAAAAGCAGTCGTTTTGACTCTCGTAATTATTAGCTTGATTCACAAATTCATAGATTTTCAGATGCTGAGCAGTGATAACTCAGAAGCGACGAAACTAGCTTGTGCCTTAAATATGTTTTCATTTTCTACGTTTTTGGGTTGGGTAGAAAAATTCTGTTATGAATTCAAATATTGTAGAGCATTTTTTATTCCGCTATCGTCGAAACGTTTTAACTGAAAATTTCTTTATAGCGAGGTCAATAATAAGTCATAATTCAATATCTCTTATCAATAACTACAAACCTTTGGGGAATATTTGAAAAACACACATGCCGTGTAGAAATTCATCAAATTTTTCAAAATTTTTTTAATAAAAAATATTTTACAGTTTCCTTTTTAATAAAATGCTGCATCAACAACGGAATAATATTAAAATAGTGAAAATTTATTGTTAGATCATTTGAGCTTTTCCACAAATAATTAATCAAATGAAACTCCAGTCAAAAACGTTATATAAAGAAATTGTTTTAGCGATGAAAAATTTCAAGTGCAAATCAAAGAATGCAGATTCAGAGATGTCAAGTGTAGGTCAAATTCTGAAGTTTTGATCAAGAAGTCACTGAGAGTATCGGTTTAGAGCATTTATTTTTCATTTTAGTAGTAAACATGCAAAATTAAATTATAGTTTTTAAAAGTTCACATCTAATTTTCAGGTATGTTTCTCATACAGATCAGAGTTTAAAAAAATAATAATAAATGATAAAAAGTATAGTAAATGGTACAACACAAATTATAAAATGCCTGAAGTTTCTTACATAACTCGTATTATATTAACTATCATTCATATGCATGCTATACAGGGGATTCTAAATTGTTTTTAAAAATTAAGAGGGGTGATAGTAGTCATCCAGATGAGCAATAATCACCATAGAACATAGGGTTGCATTCCACTCTGAGAGGCCGAAAAGAGAAATATTAGAATTTCAACCTGAAACTACAAGAGTGTTTGTTGGGAGAGCGATTGAACAAGACCAAAAGTTACACAATCTGTTTAGTGAAAAACTTAAGAGGAAATTATCTATCAGGGGGAAAAACTACTACCTTGGTATTCAAGGTAGCAGTTTTTTCCCCTTCGCCATCTTCTATCCTGTCCTCCTGGACTTAATGTGCTGCGCTGATTCTACTTATATGGGATATGAAGTTCTGACAGCCGTAACACAGTATGAATTTTTCATGCTAATCTCGGCATACAGCAGAAATTGGAGTTGCGAGGTTGAGACTTTGCCATCCCAAAATGTGCATTTGCGTATTTACCGTGAAAGTCTGAGCTCGAATTAACACTCGAACGCCAAGTTTTCGGTTTTATCCTTTTCGAGCACTCTCTGTGAGTTTTTCACTAAACTGAAAGTGCAACTTTTGGTCTCCTTCATACTCCTTCCCAACACTGTTTGAGTTCAGGTTGGAATTATAATATTCCTTTTTTCTGCCTCTCAGAGTGGAATGCAGCCCTATGTTCTATGGTAATTATTGCTCATCTGGATGAGTACTATCACCCCTCTTAATTCGTAAAATCAGTTTAGAATCACCCTGTATAAGAAATAAAATTCAAGATGGGAAAGTTTTGCATTTCTTGATTTTTGAAGTAATTTACAGAAGTATAGTTTTGAGATGGCTATATTACAAATAAGAAAATTTCAAATCATACGGAAACAGGTATTTTTAAAGCACACAGTATACCTTTCAAGAAACTGAAAAATGAAACTGTAGGACTTCACTTAAATACTAGTAAACACTAATTCACACTAGTAAAGCTTATTTCGTTGCATACCAGTTACGAATAGTTTTAAAAATACAAATAATGGAAATAATTTCGAAAAGCACGAACTTTTTTATATTTCCATATAACTCACTGATATTTTAAAAATTGCATACTGATATAAAATAAATGGATCACCGTCACGAATTAAAATATTTTCTTCTTTGCAAGCAATTGAGAAGGCGTATGAAATTGTAAAAGAAGATTTAGATAACAAAATATTTTAAGCACATATAATTTTACATTGAAAGGTAAATTACAAAAATATAAGAATACCATTTAAAATACAGAATGTATTTTCGTCTAAATTTAACGTTACTCTACATATTTTAAAAATACGCAAGATCATAAACAAAATTCAGTTTTAAATAATCGTTCAATCAATCCAAATAAAAGACTTCAGCTTCATACATAATTCATTGTCTCTGTTTAATTGATCCACTGAATGACCTCCACTTTCTGCATAATTTTACTGTGCTCAGTCCTCCAACTCAATTAATTCTTCTACACACACAACTTCACTGTCATTTGGTAACTGAAAATAAAAATTTAGAATTACGATTAAGATAAGAAAAACTGCATAATCTGCTAGTGAAAATTATTATAAATTTTTAAAAAATGGATATTTTTGTTTATTAACGACAATGAATGCTTTCATTGTTTTGAAGAGCTTGATAAGCAAAAATATGCTTGTTGATTGAAAAGTACCAATCAACTGAATAATATGGAGAAAACTGTATGAAACGTTTAAGTATTATATATGTCTTTCTTTTTATTTTTGCAAGTTTAACAGCACAGGAAACCGTAAAAAATCGCCAAACATTTGTTGATACCAATGATGCCAAAAATAATTACAGTAATCTTAACGCAAGAAAGGAAGCACAACTATCTAAGATTATTATTTTAGATCAAAGGTTAATTTCATATAATACTTTTTTTATTATTATTAAAATTTATAAAAAAATCTGATGTGTACACCACATGACTTCCTTGTGTGGAATATTAAATTATACGCATTTTTTCCTGCATTTCATTTAAACTTATTGAATTGAATTAAATCTACTTCGCCGATAGCGCATAAACCACAATAGAATAAATACGCTTCTTAAAATGCACTATATTTATTTACCACAGCGATACTCTGGTGCTAGGTTCACATAACAGCTTTACACCTCATTCATTTTATAACTCAAAGTGCATACAAATTAGATCATCTGAAGAATTATCTCATCGTTGCCACATGTCCTATTCAAATACTGTAATAAATCTAAAGCGATGTATAAAATAAATTAAACAAATAAAAAGAAAAAGTTTTTCACCGACGATTCAGAGCTGCTTACCTAATGCCGATGCCCTACTCGTAAACATCCTCCTCTGTCCAAAACAGACTGGCAACAGTATTTTCTGTTAATATGAAACGCTTATTTCCTCGAATTTCATTCGAGATACATTTCTCATTCAATTAATTCAATTTTCAGTTCGCGGCAAGGCAAAAATAATAAAAACTCAAAATATCTTCATTAAAACTTAAAAAAGTTGGAAAAACATAAAACACCAAATACAGTTAAAAATTTTTAAAAAAAAAACAGTTTCTTCGCAAAAACAAGCAATTCGGCCAGCGGGCATGAAGACAGATTTTTCGGTGCACAAAACTGAAAGTTTACTTTTGGTCTCAATCGGCAAAAAGACACTGAAGTCGTAGAAACTAATTTAATTTCTTGTGGACTCTATGCTGAGTCAATATATGGGATAATTTAATAACTTAAATGATAATTACAGAATGTGTTAAGCATCATTTAAATCGCAATAATAAAAGAAGACGTTACTTTGTTGTTGCGAAGCTTAGTTTCCCTAGATGGGCAATAAATCCACTATTCTGCTAAGTTTCAAACGTAACCAAATATGGCTGCTATGGTAACCAAATTAGGCTTAGCCGCACTTAAACAACTTTTAAATTGTTGATAATTCTACAACTGCAACATGCAGGTTAACTAAAGGCATAAAAACCTTAACCGGAAGATAAGAGCACCATAATTCAATCATTTTTAAAGCAAAAAATCCATAATTTACAAACATATACGAATAAAGAAACTGATATCACTGAGCCGAGTAACAGAGTATATATATATTATATATATTTATATAGTTTTGGTGCGACCGATAGCAACCGAAAAGGTTAGTACGCAACTACATATTATAGCAGTCCTATATACAAAATTTCAACGTTCTGAAGCTTCTCGTTTTTGAGTTATGCGAGATAAACACATACATACGTACAGACGCCACGAAAAAAAACCTCTTCTGAATTTGTTTTAAATCAGTTATATAATTCGTTTTGGGGGGAAAAAAAGAGTCCTTTATTCTGTTCTTACGTACAGATGTCACGCAAAAATATCGTTAAATTGCATTCGATTGGATCAAAATGGATATTTTTGTTGAAATATGTAACCGGGAATTTTTCGTGATTACAATACCTCCTTTACTTCGTACAAGGAAGTAAGAAAGGATAAACATAACTGAATGGAAGCATAATAGTAAATAACTAACTCAGATTATTATTTTAATTTTGAAGAAAGGTTAACTTCATGTAATGCATTTTTTTATTATAATTTATAAACCAACAGCTGAACATACTGAAAGAAAACGTAATAGTAGTTAAGATTATTAATTTAGTTTGATGAAAGGTTAATTTCACATAACACATTTTTTTTATTATTTTATTCTATGAAAAGGGCTAGACATAACTGAAATTAAATGGGAGGCATAAAATTTTTTATGTCTTCCAACACAGCAGAGAAAATTTGTATTTTTGCGCAAATGTCTGTACATAAACTCGGACAAATAAAAATTGAAATGCAGTCGCGCAGTGCCTCGATTGTGTTTATTACGCCATTTAGACTGCCACACAGCCGCTCTATTGTGTGTGTTATGACACCCATTTTCGGGGTCCACAAAATTTTAGGTGTGGTTGACAGTAAAATGTCCAAAGCCTGGATTTCGCAGTTCATCTGACTTATATGATTTCCAGTAGCCAATATAAATTTAATGCTTCTATCTGCGATATTTTCCATTACGACGTGAAATAAGGTTTTCGCCGAACGATCTGGAACACCGACTAGAAAACATTCATTTGATTCTCTGCAGGTTTTCGGCGGAAGAACACGTCCAATGTTATTATTTCTTCTAACTGAAAAGGCTTTCGTCTACTTCAATAATTTTGCCACATCCGCCGATTCTCAGCCTAGGTCAAGCAATTACAGCTGCAGCACTCACCTCGCGCATGTAATTGTTCCAGTCTACAACTGTATTGTGGTTCATCTTCAGCTGGAGTTCACAAAATTCAATCGACGTCATACCCTGATAACACAACTAGATGAATATAACGGTTGTAAGATAGGAGATTTTCGATCCTTCGAACAAGTTTTGACTTCATCCTTTTTTCTTATTACCGTTTACTTTCGTGCACCGGCATTTCGCTATCGAGTTACCCCTAAAGCATAATTTCAATTTGTGGTTGAGCCCACCAGCGGCCCAGCGGTAAAGTCGCTGAACACTGGTAGTTCGGGTCCGAGGTTCGAATCCCGCGAACGGGCTGGCTGCATGGGTGTTTTCGTGGTTTTCCCCATGTGTAACGTGTATACGAGCCAGTTTCCCTTAGAAAGTCCTCCACGAAGGCATCCCTTCCCCTTAGGTAGATAGCCCTAGTGTGCTTTGCCATAATTAAATACACCATTTTGTGGTTGTTCGAATATAATTTTCTATCATGAATGATGCCTTTCCTTTGGAAACATTCTATTGCAGAGAAATTGAGAATAGCCGAATGACGAAATCTCAAATTGTAAGATCCATAGCGTTATCAAATAAATAAACCAGTATTTCAATGGCGACTTACGAATGTTGAGGCGCTTTTGCGCATATATTTGCGCTGCAAATTTTCACGGTTCCTAACAGTTGCATTATTTTAACTTTTTTAACAATCTAAAAAGATGTGTATTGTCTTCAGCTAGCATGAAATATCGTGTGTTGGAAAAATAAAATCCGCGCACAAGATATTATTTATATTCTATATGCCCTAGCGCATAGCTAATTCTCAGAATGTTTGTTGCTTTCCGAAAAACCGTCGTCATTCTGGATTTTGTATTCGGCACAGCAGATCTTCAGTTTATAGTCCAAATTTAATCAATCTAATATTAGTTAATAAACTTTGTAATTTAAATCCAGCAAATGCTTAACAATATAAATCGTATTTTATTGTTTTTTTTATTAATGATGCAAATTAAAATATATTTAACTTGTAATATATACGATTAATAACTTTTAAAACATTTGCAGTTTGTTGCAATTGATAAAATATGTGTCATGTATCGTTTACTGGAAGAGAATATAAATTATCTTATAATTTTTGTGATAGAAAATAATAATCTTCGAGGAATTTGATTTTTATTTTTTTCAAAAAGGCTATAATGCAAAATACTGCAAAATACTGCATTATAGCCCACTGTTTAGGTTGATATTTTAACTATTTCACTGAACTAATGTATTTGATAATAATATAAATACTTACGATTTTTCTGCGTTTATGAAATACAAGCAGTGATTTATTATTTTGAGCATACTTTTGTAAATACCTGAAATATGAAAAGAAATGTTTTAATGAAATGCAGACTACAGCAAGGCTACATTTGCATATAATATTTTCAGTGCATATTAAATTTATTAAAAATGCTTAATTAAAATTCCAACAACAGCAAAGGCACATTTCCATTAAATAACTATAGCACATTATTATTAAAAGAAAGATATGAGAGTTTCCAGTAATGATGTAGTATGCGATCGATCGCTTTTAATTAGTTATTTCTTAGATGGCGCTACTGAAACACTATTTTTAATTATGAAAATAAGTATAAATGATAAAGAATATGTAAATGAAAAATAGTCCATTAAATTAATTTAATAGCTTATAAAATTTAAATTTCAGTAGCTTCATAAAATATAAAATTCAATAGCTGCCATATCGGAATGTGCGGTAAAAATCGCAGAAAAATTAAAACAGCTAAATTTAGCGGCGGCATCTAAAATAAATAAACAGCTAAAAATGGTAGGTGACATACTGCATTATTATCAGCTTTCTTATAATGCATTACTATATTATAAACAGTTCATTATAAATAAAGTTTTAAAATGACATTTTAAATTTTAATTTAATTTAATTCTACTTCAAAATCTATGTCAGAATTTTATATTTTGAAACACATTCAGGCTCAGTTGCTAAATAAGCTCTGACTGCTTGTTGAACAGGCCCATTAGTAGCCGAGCGATAACCAAGTAAAATGATAAACTTTATGAAAAGTCGTGCTCTTAAAAGCAGTAGAGAGCTCTTTAAAGCAGCAGAGTAGCTTTACAGAGATTTTCAAATCTCTATAAAGCTACTCTGGATACAAAAAGTTATTAATGTACGCAAAAGTAAAATGGATGTCCATATGGTGAAATTTAAGATCACTGTTATTAAAAGACGAAATTATTATATTTTTAACTCAACAAAAGTCCGATCTTGCTGCTCCTTTTCAAAATAATTTATGGCTGTCAAAGCTGTGCTGTTTTTTCAGATACTTTTGAGAAACTAAAGGATTTCAATTTGTCTATTCAAGTTAAATAAATATAGCAATATACACTCATGTCCATAAATTAAGGATAATTCGGAGTCACGCGGAAATCGAACTCTAAAATAAATATATCACCTGTAAAATCACTACACACATCTTCAAGAATCATATGCAAATTTCAGGAAGTACCAGATGACACGATGGTACGTCACAATGACGAGAGTGTAAGAGAGTGATATATAAGGAATAAGACAAAGAAGTAAAATTGTTCGCAGGCGCTTTAAGCATTTCAGGCAATAACCGAATAGTTATGACACAAAGGACGCATTTGGATGATTTTTTACGTGGTAGAATTATCGGCCGTCTGGAATGTGGGCATACCCAACTGGAAGTATCAGACGAACTTGGACTTGCTCAGAGTGTCATCTCCAGGCTTTGGCAACGATTCCAATACAGCACAAGTCGACCCAGAGTTAACGCCGAATGAGGACCGGTATTTGGCAGTTATTGCCAAAAGAAACAGGCGGAGCACAGCCTCAGACCTGTCTCGTCAGCTCTCTTCAGCCACTAGTACGACAATTTCAAAGCAGACAATGTACAGACGTTTAGGGCAGATTGGTCTATATGCTCGTAGACCTGTCAGATGCGTTCCACTTACTGCAACTCACTGTCGCCTGCGGTTAGCCTGGAGTAGAGAGTATGCATTGTGGACACCGCAACAGTGGGCTTGTGTGATGTTTCCCTACAAGTCCAGGTTTAGCTTGCAGTTTGATTCTCACCGGACTTTCATGTGGAGAGCTCCAGGTACCCGTTACCACCAAGAAAACATCATTGAACGACACCGTTACGGTGGTGCAGGAGTGCTCGTTTGAAGTGGAATTATTCTGGGTTCCAGAACTGACCTGCATGTCCAAATTGGAACCATGACAAGCCAAATCTATCGGGACGTCATTCTGGAACAACATGTACGTTTGTTTCGGGGCGCCATGGGCGCACAATTTGTGTTTATGGGTGACAACGCTCGTCCTCAGCGTGCAAACATCGTAAGCGAATGCCTTCAATCGGAGGATATCACCCGTACGAACTGGCCAGCATTCTCACCGGACTTGAATCCAGTAGAACACGTGTGGGACATGCTTGGCCGACGAGTTGCAGCCCGTCAACCTCCTCCTACACGTCTACCGGAATTTCGGAGAGCATTGCTTTTTGAGTGGTGTTATATCCCCCAAGATCAGATCGATAATTTGATACTCAGCATGCCTAGGCATTTTACAAACTGTATTGCATCATCTGGGAGACATACAATGTATTAACAATCATACCAACCATGTAATATTGGTTTTTTGTAAATAGTTTTTTTTTTTGTAATTTGCTCCAAGGAGAAAAAATCGCTATTTTTTTTTAATAATACCAAACATATAGCATCTTTTTTTGCTCTTTACCTTTTATTTTATAAATAAGCTTTACAAATAAGTGAAATTTGTTTTGCTACTAACTCTTCCTTTGCTTATTTTGCATTATCCTTAATTTATGGACATGAGTGTATTTTAGCTAATTTACATCAGTTCCCTTCTCTTTAACCATCTTCTTTGTTTAATAAACAAATCAATGTTCCGACTAGTCTTTGCTTCATTCCCTAACTTGTTAATGTTTTAACAATATATCTTTGAAGAATAACTTTCTTCAGTTGCTTTCTCAATAAGTTTCCTCTACATTTTAAAATTTCAGGTTTAATTACAGATTTTCGTTTTTTTTAAAGAACTGCATGTATTTAGAATGTACAAAAGATGTTAATTTTATTTCTTTAATAATAGGAGTATTGAGAATAAATTTAAAGTGATACAAGGTCAGGGACAGCACAAGAGTCAGTGTGGTAGGAATTTTAAATTTAGTGAAGCAACAAAATTTAGGAATAAAAAAATTTTAGAATTTTGAACAGATACCAGGTACCAGGCAGCACAATTAGGTATCAGACCCATATAGATTGCAACAGGTGGCAAAATGCCTAGTGCTAGCCTTGTGCACGGTGCAGTCAGACAATTGTGCACAGTACTGTGAGATGAATCTTTTAAATTGTCCATTTTCAGTGTAATTATTAATAGAAAAATTCCTTTTTACAAATACTTATCCAGCCCACCAGCGGCCGAGCGGTAAAGTCGCTGAACACTGTTAGTTCGGTCCGAGGTTCAAATCCCGCGGACGAGCTGGCTGCATGGGCGTTTTCGTGCTTTTTTTCCCCATGTGTAACGTGTATACGAGCCAGTTTCCCTTAGAAAGTCTTCCACGAAGGCATCCCTCCCCTTAGGCAGATAGCCCTTGTGTGCTTTGCCATAATTAAATACACACACACACACAAATGCCTATCCATGTGACAATATTAAAACTATTTTTGCAATATTCTATGCTTGAGTCTAGCAAAAAGAAGAGTAAATAAAGAAAAGCTAAATATGTTAAAGAAAGACTTTCAGAATCAAAAGCAGGGAATTCAAATAACTTTGTTTTCACTGCTCGCTCAAAAATTTTCAGAAAATATTTTGTTGGTACTTGTCGTTAAAAACCAGGGTTTATCTGTGATATTTAAATTATACTTTTCATTTCAGAACAAATTTGATAATGAGCTTGCCACTAGAACTAAATTTTATTGAAAGAAAAAGAACTGATGGAACTTGAAAAGTAATGTTTTGGGGTACATTTGTACATTAATTAAGAAAGCTATGAAAATAAAAATTTTTTACTTCATTGCGAATTATACTCGTTTTTAGTTCAATTTTCCTGGAGCCTTTTCCTAATACAAATATATCATTTGTATAATCTCTGTTAAACACTTAACAATAATAAGTCTCTGGGAGCTTACGAAAGCGTCATATTTTTGAAGCTTTATAAATTTAAATAATTAAGAAGTACTTACATATCCACTACAAGCGATTCATAAGTAAGTAACTTTTGGCAGAACGGGCACTTCCATTTAAAGTAAAATTGCATTTCTTCTAAAAAACTTTGAAGGTCAAAAACATCTACATGCTTACATTCCGAACCTCTAGTTGGATATTCCATTATTTTCATTTTAACCTGGATATTATTTAAAAAAGAAGTCATGGTTAAAAATTAATACATGCATCTGAAATTAAATATAAAACAGTAAAAACACTTTGGGCAAGTACTTTAGCTTCTGTAACCAATAATATGGAAATAAGAACTGTTTCTGTGAACTCGCCTTGAAAGAAAAATATGGACAAAACTACTATAATAACTTAAGAAAATAAAGAAGATTAATTTAGAAGTCAAATATAAAAATCAGCGTTATATTCGCAAATTTCCCAGGACTAGTTTCTATGGTTTCACCAAACCCTCTCCCTGAACTGCAAAAGTGCAGGTAAACGACATATGATACGATGATAAGGTAAGATACGATAAAAATGGCTGGATAGGAGTTAAGTTACTGGCGCCATCTACTGATGAAACAAGAAAAACAAAATATAATTTCCTTCCTAACTTCTAAATTAATCGTTGTTCAGTATGTTATTAACCTAAAAATTAAAGACGCTCAATTAAAAAATAAAAATAAAAAAGAGACATTAAATAGATCAAAAAGATATTTCTCTTTAAATGCGCCCTTCATGTTTATAATAAAAATGAGCATCTTATTAACAAATTCATTTCATCCTATCACTCACTTCTATTAGCTACTTGACACTACTGTAATTGCAGTCTTATTTCTTTCAAGTCCACACAATTTCCTGAAATACTTGAAGGCTGATCATGCGTACATAATGCTAACGATTCACTGCAAGGATTTTAAAAAAGTCTCCAAATAGCTTGATATGGGGGGGGAGAGAAGAAATTTTAATTCTAGCCAGAGTAATCAAAAAATTCAGAAATCTTATTTTCCTGTAGTTCTAGCCAGAACATGTAACAAATTTTAAAATCTTATCATCTTGGGTGGCAATAATTTTACTTTCAATGACTGCAAACTCTCAAAGTTCGTTTAGTTTTTATAATTTTACTATTAAAGTGTGAAATTATTTTAATCATCCCATGTTTTCAATAACAAAACGCTATCTATTCTAAGATGCATCCTTTGATTTCAGAACTAGCTTTAATGAAGGTAAGAAGCAAATTAAATAATCAAAATAAAAAACTGAAATGCACCTTACAAATGTGATTTATAAACAACTTTGATTCGTTAACAACAATAGTAAATAATGCCTCGCATAGAGAATGCTATTCACTCTAAGACGAATGTTTGTTATACGAATCGTTCGTTACGAAGATAATGTTTCTCATTGGTTAGGATGAGAATAATTTAAATACGTTCCCAAATCTAATCTAAGATCCCAAAATATCAAAGCAAAATTTAACAGAGTATTGAAAATATCACCACTGCTATAAGTGCTTCGAATTTAGTACCTGTAGAGAAAAAATATATGTACTATGCATAAGCACAATAGACAATTTTCGATTTAGCTTAAACTGATTATTTCTAGTACTGAAGCTGAATCTTCAGTATCTTCTACTAGATACTGAAGATTCAGCTGTCCTGACCTTGCACATCTTGCCTTTAATCTTTTAGAAGGCCAGGTTTCAAGAAGTAATTCAAGTGGCTTATCTCTCTCACTTTTCCAAGATGGTTCTGAAGTAATGCGTGACATCTGCCACTCTTTTCAGATTGACTTGAATGCTTTTTTTTCTTTGGCTACGATTTGAAGCTCTACCCACTTCTTTAGGAGGTTCTTTATGGCTGCACTACGCATTAGTCTCATCGTTTTGTCCTCCTCTTTTCCAGATGAACCATTTTTCTAAGCCTTCTCATGTTCCTGCCCAAGATTTTAAAGTTCTTTAGTGACAATCTTATTGTGTAGTCCAGATAAGATCCACCTGAAGTGTAAATCAATGTACCAGATTATAAAATCCAGTTACAATACAGAGTCAAAACGTCTTCAACAAGATTCACTTAGAGGTCTATAGCCAATTCCTTCAAGATGTGTTGAAAGTCCTTGGAGTGACTTTCTATATGCGATATAGCGCTACCATTTCTTTGAATCGATCTCATAATTTCCTCTATGTTAAATTTGGCTGTTCACAATTTTCTAAATGTCATATCAAATGAAAACTGTCAGACTTCAAAGCACATTTCAAAGAAATCAGATAAAGGATCTTTACAGTCATACCGAAATTCCAGTTCCTTTTTAAGTTGCTAGGGACATTACAAAGTAATAGTACAGCTCCCAGAAGCAAATCATTCTTTGTAAAATATTTTTTGACAGATGATGCAAGGCCTCCATTATCAACTCTTTGAAAATTGATAGACCATTTGGTAATGGATTGATGTTAAAAACTGACTTTTGATTTAATCCAGATAGGATCAGCAGCCTCGATTTAATAATACTCCATTCCTTAAAAGCTCCGGAAAATTCTCTCTGGAATTCATTGAGTGATAAACTAGAAGTTCAGATTTAAACTTCATTTGGATAATTGAAATGAAGATTTGTTTTTCATGGGCTTCAGCCCAGAAATTTTCTTTCATTTATTATGTAGATTTTATTCGGCATCTTTTTCCAGGATAGACTAGACCAGTAATGGCGAACCCGTGTTAGGTGATCCGCATCACGCATTTTCAGAGCTCTCGACGAAGAAAAAAATTGCATAATATGAAAATATATTGTCTTTTGACAAGGGGTTCGTCATTGTTAACATGTGCTGCGCTTACCTCGAGTGCATTCGTGGCAGACGGATATGGCGCCAGAGTTAAAGTAAGGTTTTTCCAAATTTTGACACTCCGAGTTCAAAAGTTTCGCTATTGCTGGCCTAGATGTGTATGGTTCGTAATCCAGGACCAGCTGCATTATACGAGATACTTTTCGGCTTATGCATGCGCCATTATGCTTATCTTTTGTTGTGGCAGGCATCAGCATATGTCTATTTAAGGTAAAGTCTAAAGCTTCATATATTCTAAGGCGCACGATATTTTTAGTGATGATTACATGGAAAAAATGTTGCACCTTAGAATTAAAGAAATACGATATATTCATTTCTTTGAGATGACAAGCAAAAGCAGGAGACCAATAACGCTTTATACCCACTTGTGAATATTGTTAAATGTTTTCTGCTAATTTCTTGCTGAAATTTTAATTTTTGTACTGCCTTCTCATTCTTATAAAATTTATACAAATATTTGCGCTATTTGCAGATGATAATACTAAATTTTTTTTCCTACACTAAAACCTTTAAAAAATTTGTAACATGATGGGTTAAAATATCTGCTTTCCTACTAACGAATCATTAAACTCTATTATCAGTTGTACATAAACTGCACAGTGTGGGGCAATAATCTATAGCTGAAACTGCCATATATATTCTCTTGGAGGTAGATACAGGTATAGTAACAAAATTGTGGCTATTAACTCATTAGTTTCCTCTATTACAGAAGCTCCAATTATATTATTAAGGCCAGTTCGTAAGTTTTACAGAAATATGCTAAGGAGAAAAATATGACATTTAAAATACACACCATCCGCTCTAAGGAACATATAGTAATCCCATTATGCATGATTTTATTTATTTTCCAAATGGCCAGAAATTTGATCCTTATGCATTTGTCGGGATGAACAAATCTATCGGATATACAGCTGTCTCATCATGAAAGTCAGGGGCGTAGTAGAGGGGGGCAAGGGGGGCATCTGTTCCCGGACGCAGAATCCAAGGGGCGCCAAACTGATGTTACGACATTTTAGAATTAAATGTTTTCCATCCTTGGCAAGCAGTAGGGGGCGCGAAATCTTCAGTTGTCCCTGGGCGCTGAAAACCCTAGCTAAGACTCTGATGAAAGTGTTTCCCAGGGTAGATAAATCTACAAAAAGAGAGAAGTATACATAGAAACAACTAGGTTAACCTTAGGTGGGATTCGAACCCACTCCTAAGGTTCAACCTTTCTGTCAACCTCCACTGACCACTATTCGTCCAAGACGACTGAGTACGCAGAATTAAAATATAGAAACATATTTAACCGTGCCTCTAATTTACAGATAATTTTTATGCACATATTTTTATACACTCCCCACATAAAAATATATTTTGTCTGAATTTCTCTCGCACAAATTACAAATATAAAAAACATTTTTTATGCAGTTAAAAACAGATTACCATGGGAATTTGGATAGATTCTAAGCTATATAAAATTCACAGTACCCCTAAAAAGAACACAAGACCATTATATTTTATAGTATTGAAATGTACTTACGGGGCATGCCAAATGAAGCTCCAACCTTTTTACAATTTTATTTTTTGCAAAATAATCTGAAACTGAAAAAGAAAAAAAAAATGAACCAAACATTTCAAACTTAAGTTGATAATTAGAAATGAAAATATTTTTTTCTCCCTACTTACAAGAAAGAAAAGTGAAAACAAAGAAGTGACGAAAAGTTCATATTGCCTATTTTTTATTCTAAACTACCTTTTTAGAATCTCAGCATAATTGAATAGTTGGAATGGCTTTAATAATTTTACGTACTTTTATATACCTTAAAAACAATTTCTGTTTCATTTTCAAGCTTTAAGAAGTACTGATTATACAACAAGCTTTGACATTTGAATTATGTAGAATTAAACAATGAGAAAACAAAATTATTATTAATAATAATTGTGTATAAAGCTGACAGATATTAAATATGCTAATAATTCTAAGAACTTCTTTTTCTCATGGTATAGACATTATAGCGAAATGATAACTGATGAAAAAGACTGAAGAATTTTGAAAAGAACCTTCCTCTCCCCCATAAAAAGGAGAGATACGGTACATCTGAGTAAATGTTGCCGAGAAAATACAGTAGGCTTATCGTTACTTAAAATGTTATCAACTAACACAGCATACGTGTGTCCACTCAGATGTTTTAAACAATCCAAGCCATCCTTGTTTAAGACGCTAGTCAGTGGTAGTCGTACTGACGCAAGCGCTCTCCTCTATCATAAATACAAAGACATATTTATGATACTTATTTCCATGCGGGTTTTGAATTGATTTTTGGTTGCTGCGTGCACAGAAAATATTTAGTTTTGTTAAAATTTCTGTGACTGCTAAATTGAGTTACGGAACCCAATATAGGGTCGCGACCCACAATCTAAAAAGCCCTGCTTTATAGAAATATACCCAAGTAACTCCTAAATCACTTAATAATAGATGTGCCACACAGTTCTGTGATTGCTGTTATTGCAGTCAGAAATATACACCTTGCATTTTAAAAAAATTATATCTCCCGTTCTACAAGACCGATTATCGAAATTTAACTACCATTTTCCATGTCTCAAAAGCGCGACTTTTTCTCAGTTTGCGCCAAGAATTATTCACTTGCCGAACTTCTTACTTTACAGCAACATATTTTTCTTTCCTTTTTTTCATTGTACACAAGAGGAAAAAGGTCATCGTTCATACTTTCAAATAATTTTAATTATATAAACAAAGTACGCAAACAAACGCAAACCACATTTGGCGTTATTATCGCTCAAAAAAAGATGCCAAATTTCAAAACCCACCAATATATAAATTCACGTATATCTTAGGAAATTTTGAATAAAAACTGTTAATTTTTTGCAGGTATGCTTAGAAATATATCTACTTTAAGATGATGGTAAAACTTTACAGGTCATAATTCAAAATATTTTTCGAAAAATTTATAAAAATTATTTAAAAAATACAAATGTTAAAAATAAATCATAAAAACTGGGGAAATTTTATTCGGAATGAACCTAAATTTCGAAATCTGGAAGGAAGAATCAAATAAGTTTAATAAAAAAGAGCTATTAATAAATATATACCAAATTCAATTAACATGAAGGAGGTAAAAATTTTGAGAGTTAATTTTATAAAAATTACTCGCGTGATTTTTGAAAAATTTGGCACTTTGGCATAACTTGAATCGTAGACTCGAAATAGAAAAAAATTGTCTGAAAAAAATCCGAAAAAGTCTGATTTTGTGTCAAAATACCTATGTCAGAAGAATGTTATACATAAATCTAATATATATCTTAAGTCGCGCTTTCGAGACATGGAAAATACAAGTTAAATTTCGACAATCGGTTCAGTAGAACGGGAGATACAGAATCATCCCCCTCCTTTTTTGTGTGTAAGGTGTACATATAACCCATACCCAACAGAGAAGTCGCATTTTAGCCCTGGTAAATTTCAACTACCCTTCACCTATACTCAACTCCCACGTGTAACCTTTCTGCTTTTACTACCATTTCTTTGATTTGCAATTTTTAATCGTCTACTAAGTATCACCTTGTATTTGGCATTGCACATAAATAGCTAGCCATATTTATCTCCATGCTACAAAATTTTCTCTGTACACGCAAAAATATTTTCTTCTTTAAATTTTGCATATACCTCATTGTCTCAACATTGCTTGGCCCCATGAAGGTACGAGCCAAGCAGATATGTAAATGGTTAGGAATACAGTGTGATTGCGCAATGGGTAATGAATCCAATGTCATTCGCCCAGGCGCATAAAAAGCAGAAGCAGTTTGCCTGCGCTTAATTTGTTGCTGAGATACGCTTATTCACTAGAGATGCAGTTACACCGCCTTCGAAGACGATCAGCTGTGAGAGTTCGAGAGCGCAAAAATCATCAGGATGAGGGAAGTCGAGTGGTCAGCTCAGTGAGTAACTCGCTGTCTAGACCATTCTGACGTTACTGTCAGGAGATAATGGGACCAGTGGGCGAGAGAGAGGTCGCATACACGGCGACCAGGCTCAGAACGACCTCAGAAGACCAACAGATAAGAGGACCAATACAATATCCGACACGCATACGCAGCGCTAACTGCATCATTGTCCGCCATCCAAATACAGGCAGCACTTTCAATACGAGCACCTATATTTGTCCGTACATCGCGAGGTGTCTGGCTGAAGGATTTTTGATATTGCTGGACCCAATGCGTGTGCTACCAACAACATCCATACATCGTCGCCTCTCCTTAAAGTGGTGTTGCATTTGATGAGACTGAATTGTAACCGAATGACAACAGGTCATCTTTAGCTACGAATCGAGATTCAGTACGAAAAGCGATAACTACCGTTTACATGTGCGAAGGGCGCATGGAGAACGCTTCAGTTCTAGTTTTGCTTTGCAGTGGCATACTAATCCAGCCGCTAGTGGCTGATAAAAGTTGCTACCGCATACCAGTCTCGGTCATCTCTAATACTAATCCGCGGCACCATGACTGCCCAACGGTACTCTCGTGACATCCTTCAGCCATATGTGTTATCAACCAGGATAAGTCTTCTAGGAGACATTTTTCAACAGGAAATGCCCGATCTCTAGATTTGTCACCGATTGATGTCTCGTATCACTTGGAACGGCATGTTGGATAGCTTGGCCGAACTAGAGCTGCGCTTGCAGTAACTTTGGAATGAGAAGACGCAGAACACAAGAACACATATCATATGGGAGCTATACGCCACAATGCCAGCATGCATCGCATCGATATTCACGCCAAAGGTGGCTCAGGTATTAGAACCTCCATTCATTAGTAGTTCTTCTTGTAATAAAATGATCATTTTGTTATGATTTTGTAATCTCTTTATCAACGTCGCACTTTGTTCAATTCTGATAAACCTTTTCTGGTGCACAAATTTTTATGGCAATAAAAAGTATTTACATATAATTGGCTAAGCTGTGCCTCACTATGTACTTTATAAATTACTGTTGTTAAATGTATAACTTTACTTTTCCCCAAAAGAAAATTAATAAATTTATAAAATCTATAGCTGATGTAAGTGCTGTTTCTCACAAAAATAATAAAAATAGCGAGTTAATGTATTTAGTTCTTAGTATTTTGTATGTACACAGTAACTGTTAAACAAATAAAAATACGTGCGTCATTATTAGTTTTTAAGCTTTATTTCGATTCTGTAGTTTACTCTACACCTTAAATTTTGGATTATGCGTATGGTTTAATCTTTTTTCCGTTTACATTCCACCTAGTGTACAAATCTTGTTACTCTACTAAATTAAAAATAACTTCTTTTGACTCTCATACTCTTTTTGTATCTGTGAGATTTGTTCTTCATCATAATGTCTTGCGCAGAAACCTAATTATTGAAAACTAGAGTTACCGACATAAGTTTTCCTCTTTCTGTTATTGATAAAAGCTTCAGAAAAACAATCCTCAGAAGATTCTTAAAAAGAGCATTCTTCCGTTAAAATAACCGTAAATAATTTCGTCGACTTCCTAATTTTTGTCTTCTATTACGCTTCGATTTTTTATAAGTTCAATTTAGAATTTTTTATCCTGTTAACAGAATTCATTGCCCAATTCCTGAAGAGTTTATATCAAAATTTAATTCATTGCAAATTTATAACATCTTTTGTTACTATAGCGCAATATAATACATTTACAGAATTAAGAAAGCATTCATATTTCACTTGAATTAGAAAAAAATCATGTAAAAAAGAAAATTAATGTTATGCGAGGAAACAAGGAATTAATAAATCGACCAAAGTTCATCATTACTTTTCCTTTAAATACTTATTTTCCATTATTTATTCATTTATTTTTAATGTATCTCTGCTAAAATTACTGAAAGAGCTTTATTTAGTAAGTGGAATAGCATCTTGAAGTCGCTCATATCTGACAAAATCTATCAGTTTTATTTAACGATATTTATTCCAATACAGCTTTTCGCAAAATTTTAAATTTATATCACCCATTTTTTAATCTTTTAATTTCTGCTTGTTAAACAGTATATCGGTAAATTTTGCACAAATAAAGTTTCAAAACTAGCTTGAATTGCTTGTCCACATAGCATTCAAAGTACCAAAAACCTTTAAATGGTACGAAAGTAGGAATAACTTTTAAGATTTTCAAGAAACATGCATATATTTATCAAAAACTGCAACGAGAACTATTCAGGTACTACATAAAAATTATAAACTCTCAAACAGTTCTTCTTGTGATCTCAGTTACAAGTAATTGTTCAAGTAAAAATTAAAATATGAATTACCAGTTAGCACAGATAATAACAATAGTAAGAAAAAATTAATATCAATAGAATAATTAGGGCATTTAAAGCAATTACTCAGAAATATTTGATATAAAAGTTCTCTAAATATAAAATGAATATGCATTGTATATATACAGCCATATTAAAGCTCATATATTAAAAAATCATGAATTAAAGCATTTAGAGGAAATGACATAAAATTTTGTATGAATAATAATTCAAATCAAATTATATTTAAATAAATAATTAAGGCACAATTTTTAATTAATTACTATAATTAAAAATGATTAACGCTAAAAAAATAATGCCTTATAAATTTAATAAAAGTTATCGAACTATTTTTACCTAACTTTCGTGTAAGATTACTGGACTTTGGAGGACATTGGTCCATTAGCTGATTCACTAATGTTCTTTTCACAAGAGACACACTAAAGATGTACGACTACACCAAAAAGAAAAACAATTTTATTTGGGAATTAAAGTTTTTTTTATGTAATAAAGTAATATAAAAAATTACATATATTTATAATCAAACAGAATGATTGCATCAAAACGAAGTAATTGCTAAGGACTTTATACTATACAGATTTCATTTGTTTACAAATTTCTCTGTACTTCATGAAAGTTATTTCCACACATATGGATGTTTAAAAAAATTGGAAACACAGCATTTTCCCAAATAAAATTTTAGATTCTATTCATTTACAACTTAAAAAATACATTTTACTATTTTTCAATGATTTACTTTTGATATCCCAAAAGAATCTCGGAAATAAATTTCCAAAAAGGATTCAAGCACAGGAAACATGTATGTTTTTCATATTTACTTGATCACTAATTATGTTAAGTGAAAGCAATGTTAATATTTTACATATTAAAAATCATTCTCTTCCTCGTTTGCTTGCTGACTTTGACTCTTTTGATTTCAAACATGCAAGTATTTCTATATTTGCATTTGCACTCCATAAAATCGTACAAACAAGTAAAAAGAAATCCCAGATTTACATGTTTTGTTAGTAAAAAAATAAATATAAATAAAGAATATTTACACTGAGAGACATCGGTAATGGAGATGATAGTGTAAGTATATTTTGAGTTCTGCAATCTTTACAACAATATCTTGTTAAATAAATAATATGAGGGCTAGGTTCAGGAACCTGAAAAGAGAAAAAGGTAAATATACAATTTAAGAAGCTGCAAATGTTTTTCTGAATTCTTAACTTATATTTACGCAGCCTCTAGCTTCACAAAGAAATACTTTCATATTAAAATAACTAATAATAAAATGACTAATTTAGTTAAAATAACTAATAATAAAACAGTAAAAAAATTGTGCAGAACCTTAAATGACGATTTCTGGCTCCGTAAAGACAGCTAAGTGAGCTTTCGAGCCATACTAATCCTTCAATAAAGTAATACAGTGTCAGCAGAAAGTTTAAAACCAGCTTTTTTATTAAATCTCCAGCTTAATAAATTATCCAGCTCATGTAATAACAGAAGAATGTGGGGAATTAAAACAGAATACAAAAATTAAAGTGAAACTTGTAGAGACATTAGGTATTTTGGAAGCAGGAAAGATGAAAAATTAACAACGCCTTCGCCGGGAATCGAACCGCGGACCTTTGGAATACCGGCCCAGTGTGCAGAACCACTACACCACGAAGGCATGCTAGGAAAGCGGGAGAAATACCTTATATACTCCCCCTTTTAAAGGGCGACTGGGGTTTTTAGGGGTCCCAATCGCCAAATCCTGGGGGAGGAAAAACATCACCTTTTAGTTCGGGCGCCACTGTAAAGACATTAGGCATTTTGGAAGCAGGGAAGATGAAAAATTAACAACGCTTTTGCTGGAAATCGAATCGCGAACCTCTGGAATACCGGCCCAGGGTGCAGAAGTACAACACGAAGGCATGGTAGGAAAGCGGGAGAAATACCTTATAAACTTAAGTTTATAAAACACTATATTATTACAATGTGAAGTCCGCCTGTCTGTGTTAATATTTATCAACACAAACACATATTAGAAGAATGCTAATTGTAAATCTAACATACATTATAAGTAGCACTTTCGAGACATGAAAAGTGCAAGCTAAATTTTGTCCTTCGGTTTATTAAAACGACACTTCCTTTTCTTTGTGTACATTAACCACAAGGGGAGCATCTTTCAAAGTCATTCATAAAATGTTGTCATACATAGCACTTATTTTATTTAGCACAATATATAACTTACTTCAACAACATAAATATTTTACATAATGAGAATGCAAAATGACCATATAAACTCATGAGAATAGATATAAGTAGACATTATATTAACAGAATTTAGCTAGAAATAGCCTAATTTTTACCTCAATCGCAGAATTATTCATTACAGCATGTAAAACAAAAGCAGGCCATTCTTCGTCATTCTGAATGCAGCAAACTTTCAGCATAACCTCATAAAAATTGTTCTCTTCATTTTCTCTGTAATTTAAAGTTCATTTTATAAAAATTCCTTCATTCTGCGTAATTTTAATATCAAATTTTTTTTCACTATAATTCTTCAATAGAATTCTGAAAATCTGCACTCCTTGGGACCAAGGGTTGTGCGCATCAAAGAATTTTATGAGATTTATGAAAATTTTATGAGAATTTGTTTTTTTTTTTTACATTTCTATACTTCTAATTTTTTCATTAAAGCTGAATTTTTTGTACACGGCTAAGTATCAAAGCATATCCAAACTTTAAAAATTACTCACTCAAGCTTTACAGAATAAATAATTGTTATATTTTTTAAGTATAATTAATTATGTGCGCAAAAAATAAACCAATGCAATAAGAAAATGTAGTGGAAAGGAAGTAAATGATACTTTGAGAAAAATTAAAAAGCATCAAATTATTACATATAAAAAATAACATATCCACCGCCGAAATTGCTTTCAAAAGCGAATTTTATGCTCTTAGTTAAAAGTATGACATAAATAAAGAAACATATAATGCATGATCTAGAAAACGTTGATAAGACATGTTATTTTTAATTCATTCCTTAAGCTAATTTCATCATTACATTTCGCGCGGATTAGATTTAACTACACTACTAGCAATTAACAAAAAGTGCAAGAAATGTTTTCCATTTTTGACAACAGAAAATTATCTACAATTGGTATTTTTAATAACCTAACTATATTCGACGTGATATACTAAATACGCTGACTCCTTGCAAATTGTAAACAAAGTAGAGATATCCGTATTTGTTATAGAAAGACTGCGATGCGCGCTCAAAATGCTAAATAGCTTCAATAAAAAAATTAATATTCTTAAATTAAACTGTGTTTTTGTTAAGTTTATTTGAATAAACATTTTACCGTTAAATTTATCATGCTGAATTTTGGGAAAATGCAAATTTTGGTTAAATCTAAAAATTAGCGCCGTATACAGCCATTCGTGGAATACGGAATTGTGGTTTATTGGAATTTTACTGTACAGAACTTTTAGACTAGTGAGAATTACAGTCGAAAATCTTCACTCAGAATCGGTTTTCAACTGTAATTCTCACTAGTCTAATCTTCACTCAGAATCGGTACCTTAAAAAAGTGACAAGGACAGCAGCTCAGCACCAGTGGCAATGGGAATAGGACTCTACCGAACAAAGCAGGAAGACCTATGAATATTATCATAAAGTTTCGCTCGACCGTCTCGAGTCATCCCCACATATAACGAGATTTGTGACGGGGCACGGGCCTTTTCCATCCTATTACTATGAGAGAGGAATTGCAAATACCGAAAGTTGTGTCTGTGGAACCATTAGTAAACCAGACCATTACTTGACCCAATGCCCTCTAACCGCACAGTGGCATGCGCAGCTTCCGGAACAGGAAATTTCTCATAAGCGTTATCTGATAAAACAGCCAGCATTTCGCATCAAAATATGCAAGATAATGCAGAAACTGGAGGAATTGGGAACAGATTTGTGCAGTGTGGAATAGCTCCCTGTCAATCTCTCTTCTATCTTTTTTTAGTATATATTATGAAACATGTATGTATTACGGCCCACTGTATATATTATGAAACATGTATGTACTATGGCCAATGAAAATTATTATGAACTATGTATGCATTATGTAAAAGGCTCAATATATTATGAACTATGTAAGCAAGTATGAGCTATGTAAGCAACTATGAACTATGTAAGCATGTATATGTATGAACTATGTGAGCAAATATTATGAAAGATCTATGTATTATGAACTACTTGTATATGAGCATGTACTCTGAACTATGTAACTATGTAAGCATACATTATGAACGATGTAACTATAAGCATATGTTATGAACTATGTAAGCATGTATACAGGACCAATGCATGCTCTTATAGGCCCCATGAGGTGTTGCCCCGGATAGTTGCGGAACCTGGACTACACCCGAATAGTCTTAGTAAGCCGCACGGGTGTTCAGATTCTGCTCTCAACTCAACTCAAGTCAGAATCGGTGATACCTGAGTCTTAGAAACAAATGGCATTTGGTTATTAAAAGGAAAGTAGCCAGAGTTATTTACAGTAAAGCAATTTACAAGCTAAAACACAAAATATACAAATCTTTAAATCTAACAAACCTTTGGTTTTATCCTCCTTTACGGTTTATGGCAAGCCCATCATAACTTATCAAGTTAGAGATTAAATTTGAAAGTTAACGCCTGCTTTTTTAATTGAATATTTAATAAATTTGGAGGGAATTCGATAGTCTATAAGTACTTGTGTTAGTACAATTAGGTCATCTTTTAAGTAGTCTATTTGTGTACAGATATTTTTTCTGCTATTAATGTGATTAATTATTATTTTGCTAATAACTCTTCTAGACAAATTTGTATGCCAGTTAATTAGTTTAACAGTTGTAAATTTTAAATCTCTTATTTTATCAAAAAGTTTAATTTCATTATTTGTAAATCATGAAAATCTATTTCTCGTTGACTTGTAATTGTTTTAAGTACCAAGCAAGAAGGATGAATTTGGAATTTTTCAATAGATCCAAAATCATTGATAGTTATTGTATCATCTATGTGCTTGTATGTATTAGCAAAAAGCTTAAAATTAGTATTATCCAGCAGCTGCTGAAATTGATAGTCCTTTGCAAATAAGTATAGATTACAAATCTGTGATGAGAAATTTGCCCCCATAGGGATGCCTTTGATTTGTTTAAAAAAAGTGTCATTAAATTTAATATAGTGGTGAAAAAAGGCGCAATGTAGAAAATCTTTCCATTTGTCTTTTATGAAAATTGTTAAGCATTTCGGAAAATAAATTTAATTTGGGAACAGCACACAGGTCAGAAAATCTTTTGTAATCGGGTGCAGCAGAAATTTTAAAGTTTGCGGTGAACGGCTTCGTTTGCTTGATTATGGAAACTTTTTCTCAGTTGCTTTTGGCACGTAATACACCCATTAAGTTTCAATTAGTTGGCTGTAAAATTGTTTTCAAAGAATATTGAAGCTATTGTTTGCTTTATTTATTTTTGTGATCGTAAATTCCTTCTTAATTTCCTATATTTCGTTTTTAATTGCATTCCAGGTTAAATTACCTGTAAATTTTAACTTAGTTATTCAGTATTTAATTTTGCTATAAATTTCTTTGCACTCGTAAGTATGCATTACCGGGAAAACTTAGTTTATATGCTGTCTTAATTACAAATTCGTTCATTCGTAATATTTTCAGTATTACTGAGGCAATAGTTTTTGCTGATTCTGTAGATAAGTCTGAATTTAGTTCCAAATTTAATTAGTTCTCTTAATTGTAGGCCATTAACTATATCCAAATTACCTGTGATTATGTGATTATAGTGATCGTTGAGAAAAGAAAGAAATGCTGCCACTTTGCAGTAAAGTGTCAAACTGCTGTATATTGGTGCTCATGGTGCTGTATATCTAGTTCATGATTAAAGTATTTTTTTATATTTAAAAGAAAGTATCATACATGTGTAAACTGAATGAAAGACATGTTGATTAATTTTAAATATTATTGAAATTTACTTTGTCAAACTAAGGATGTAGTAAGTTGATGTTGCAATAATACTAGCTGGAATTCTTTCTTTGACTTAAAAGTTTATAGTTGCAAAAATCCAGTATTACATCTTTAATGATATTAATTCCTGCATAATTAGTTTTAGTTTATTACTTAAGTTTAAATTGGCTGTATGAAATGAATTATCAGCTTCTTTTATCTGTTTAGCCCACCAGCGGCCGAGCGGTAAAGACGCTGAACACTAGTAGTTACTAGTAGTTCGAATCCCGCGAACGGGCTGACTGCATGGGCGTTTTCGTGGTTTTACCCATGTGTAACGTGTATACTAGCCAGTTTCCCTTAGAAAGTCCTCTACGAAGGCATCCCTCCCTTCAGGCAGATAGCCCTCGTGTGCTTTGCCATAATTGAATAATCCAATCCAATCCTTTTATCTGTTTAGCATAGGTATTTAGCCCATAGCGGTAAAATGTTTTAAGCTTATGCTTGAAGAGTGATTCTTGAAGCAATCTATCTTTAGTATAAGTATGTATACCTAAAATCGGAAAATTAATATTATTGAAGTTGTGTAATTGAAAATGCTGTAACTCTGCTATGCTCACACTATTGTTTCTAGAAAATGCTTTCGCAAAACAAGAGGAAGTCAGAAAACGCTTAAAGGAGATGCAGGACAATGACGCTATTGAACCTTCATTTTAAGTATATTGAGCCTCCACTGACTTCATTATTGAGCCTATGGGCATCATCTATCGTTCATAGTTCGGAAGAAGGAAGATCAAACGTGATTTTACGTCGACTGCAGACGTCTAAATGACATTAAAAGAAAGACAGTTAACTCTTTCCTTAAAATCGACAACACTTTAGATATGCTAGCAGAAAATAAATGATTTCTCTCTTGAAGAGCAATTATCAGCAAGTGCGGATTTGAAAAGTGGTTATTAATAAGTGGAAATCGAGCCTCAAAGCTCTGAGAGATTGTTATTAAAGAGATAGTCACGAACTCATAGCTCGCAATAATACGCAAATTTCATTAAAAAATTTTAAAACGCAGCATATTTAACAATGATAATAACATTCGCAATAGTACGCAGATTTCACTAAAAAATTAAAACGCATCTTTAATAATAATAACCCCTAAAAAAGGAATAAAATTTCGCTTACTCTGAGAGTAGAGCCACTTGATCTTCTGTGAAGCAGAATTCAAAAGTTTTACTTCCATTCCTCAGATCTTAGAACAAAATTTTAATATATATTAAATATTTATCCATCCAATCAAAGAAACGTTTTGCAAAATGATCTCTAAAATTATTTCGAGCATATGTTTTATATACACTGACGAACCAAAACATTATGATCATCTCCACATTTTTCAATGAACTCATCTGAATGACATGGGGGGTACATGATTAAGTGGGAATGGTATTTAACTGCTGCTGGAGAAGGTAAGTAATCACGCTAGCATTTACTTTTGCGAAGGATGGGATAAGCTGCTGATCTAAGAAAATTTGACAGAGGGCAGATTGTAATGATCCGAAGACTTGGAACGAGTATCTCCGAAACTGCATGATTGATAGTTGTTCACGATCTGCCCTTGTTAGTATTTATGCAGCGTGGATAAATGACAGTGAAACCAGGAGTAGACGCCAAGATCCAAGTGCCACCAAAGAAAAAAGACGTCAGAGGCTGTTTCACTTAGTACAGCAAAATCGGAGCCAGACAATGACTTAGCTGACAGCCCAATTTGGTGAAAGTGTTTCGGAACACACAGTTCAGCTGACACTGTTGCATATGGCACTGTGCAGCAGACGTCTCACTCGTGTGCACCAAGTGTCATTGGCCCGCTGATCAAGCGTCATTGTCAACTATGCTCACAGTGGGTCCGGGAACATGAGACTGGATCTTGGGTAAGTGGAAAACAGTTGCCTGGGCGGATAAATCACGATTTCTCATTTATCATGTCGATGGTCGTGTCAGGGTACGCCATCTTCCAGGTGAACAGTTGCTCTCTCCCGTACAACAAGTCATACGCAGGCTGGTGATGGCGATATTTTGTTTTAGAGGACTTATGGGATCCTTAGTTGTAGTAGGTTGCCATCGCTGTTTAGAGTGTAGGACTGCTAAAAACTTGTGGCATCCATGCCAAGCAAGTTGCAGCTTTTTTGCAGGCCAAAGATCGCGCAACGCGTCAGTGAGTAAGTGGCCATAATGTTTTGGCTCTTCAGTGTAAAATCTACTAATATTTCTGAAAACTGTATAAACAAACAAAGTAATTCATCGATGTTTTCAATTTTTACCTACATTCTGATATAATCGATTAATATCATTTTACATAGTTTAGGAAAAAAACGTAGAACATTAACTGTAATTTTTGGGAAAACACATCATGAGAAAAATTTGCAGCTTGTATCATGTTGAATGCACCACATGAAAATAACAGAAGCTTAATGCAACTAAAATGTATTCTATCGTTTCATACGAAAATTTCCAAACTTCGTAATTTTTTATTCTAAATTAAACAGTTTAATTCAGTTTTGTATTTTAAAATGTAGACGACAACATACTTGTAAATAGCAGCACAAGAACATTTGTGTCGACAGCGCGAATAGCGGCAACGTTATACTAATGAAAAATAAAAAGTCTAAAACTTTATATATATGTGTGTGTGTGTTTAGGAGACTTAGTCAAAATATATAACATATAGTAAGATGTAAAATGATAAAGAAAAGAAGGAGAAAAAATAGGAATATTCTAAGTTATGATAAAAAAGAAAACAATTTTATTTTCAAAATTAACATATCAGTATGACAAACAGCTAATGTCTCTTCGGAATATGAAAAGTATGGTTGCTTAGTAAAATATTCAGTTATGGAAATACGTCATAACGTCAAATCAGCATAACGTCCATGTGTGGGCTTTGGAGGAACCTCATCGTACGCGACCACGTGCAGCTCAAGAGCGTTTCTCGGTCAATGTTTGGGCAGGCATTCTTAGAGACTACCTCACTGGACCGTACTTTCTGCCCAGTCCTTTGGAGAGTAGGGCATACCTGATCTTCTTGCAACAAATCCTGCCCGAACTTCTTAAAGCAGCACATGTTCCTCCGTCGTTGCGCCACTCCCTGTGGTACCTGTATAACGAGGCTCCTCCACATCACACGATTGACGTCCGCCGACACCTCGATGTAACCTTTTTGACAGCGGCGGATAGGTCGTGGTGGCCCGGTTCATTGGCCTGCCATATTACCGGACCTATCATGCATGGGCCGTTTTTCTTCTGAGGTCACATGAAGAGTTTGGTGTAAGAGACGCCCGTTCCTTCAGTTGAAGACCTCGTCGTTCCAATATCGGTAGCTGCCGGGAGGATACGTTACATGTCAGGAATCTTCCAGAACGTAAGGAAGTCCATGCAGCGACGCTCTCACACCTGCCAGACGACTTGGTCGTAATTTTGAGCACCTGTTATAGTACGACTTTTCAATAAAATGTTTTCTGTCCCATTAATGTGTTGCTGTGTTTGTTCTTTTTCTCTGCTTTTTTACAGCATAGCACTTGCGATCTGCTCTCCTATGTGATTCCGAGTCGTTTCTGTACCCCTACACACTCTGCAAATTTGTCGGTCTGGTAGCGAATCGCCCTGTATAACATTGTCCTACTATAAGTATTTTGACATAAAATCGGACATTTTAATAAATGACATACCGATTTTTCTCCATACTTCGATCCTACGCCTTAACTTATGCCATAGTGCCAAGTTTGATAAAAATCGCTCGAGTAGTTTTTAAAAAATCACGTCTCAAAATTTTAGCTCCTTCATGTTAATTGAATTTGATATATATTTATTAATATCTCTTTTAACGTTGAGGACTACATTCCTCAATGATGGTTTCAGGTACAAAAAAAATTAAGATGCAAAACATGGCTTAGTAGAACGCTTATATCTCAGCAACTCCAAAAGCTATCATTTTTGTTTATGATTATTTGACAGTTAAAGAAGACCACACACACTCAAAAGATAGCTTTCCGATTTTATATTATGCGGTGGTTTTATATTATGAGAGGACTTTCGGCAAGCCATACATTTAGTGTTCTTATGCCGCAAAATTTATAAACATCCATGTCTTCCCTGGGATTCAAACTCGGGCTCCCCTAACCCCTATACCGTCTGGAAGCAATGAGATTAATTACCTGTTATATAAAGTGAAAATGAATTTGTAAAACTATCTAGCGATTCAAACTTAAAACTTGAGTTTTCACAAAAATCCTTGATGAATTTTAGAATGGAACTAGATTTTTCACTATTTCTGAAATGGCATTAAATGTTCTCTCATTCAGCACCCCATATTTTTATGAAACTACTTTTCAGCTTTAATTAAAACCAAATGCCGTTCAATGTTGAAACATGTTGAAGATGCTTATGTCCAGCGAAATCATATATCGAACCAACATTTAATTTGTTATGCGGCAGAAAACAAGCAGATCAGTCTCATTAGAATTTTCTTTAATTTTTTTTTCCTTAAAATAAATCCTAAAATTACTTTATATATATATATTATTTACCAAAAAAGACAATTATTTACTAGAGAATATTTATTTTTATATTTAATATTTGAGGTTAGGTCGCAATTGAAAAACATTTAAGAAGCGCTGAGTTAAAGAATATGTTATATGAAAACCCGTAATATGCATTTAAAATATTTTTCTTCTCTTAGAAGCCATTTAACTGAAGCTTTGTTACATAATAGGGTTATGCTCATTAACTATTAATCCTGAGATTAAATTTAAGACTACTTTTTCAACTCTTATTAATGAAGAAGTTTATTTTTTCCGTAACTCGCTTCAGACTAAACGTTCCTTTTTCTTACCTAAGTGTTTAAATATTTTAGGCATTCTGAATAATAAACGATAAAAGTATTAATAATAAAAATGATAAAAATCAATGATAAAAATAAGATAAGTTAAATATAAAAGTTACTTTTAAACTAGAAATAATGAAATAAGCTCAAAAGAAAATAACCATCTTACGAGATCTTTGAATAAAATTTTATTGGTAAAGTAAAATTTAATAATATTCTGGGAATCATGAAGATTAAAATTTCAGAAATTTGTATATTCAACGCTTTCTGATTGAGTATATTTACTTTTAAATATCTAATAAAAATACAAATTTAAATAACTTTTGACTCGTATAACTAATCCAGTATTATTCATATATAAGAGATGAATAAATCAGATAAATATAGTTTCAGTAACATTTCTGCTTTTTTCCACAGTCTTATTTTATCTAACATATCAATTTTAAAGACATTCTCAACAGAAATAGCGACAGGCGATAAATAAACCCCTTTTTATCCAATATGTAATTTTTGTGCAATTAACAGTAAAATAAAGGAAAGTTAAAAATGAAATACTGGCTGAAATTTTAACATGGCATTTTTTTTTTAAAAGAGAGTTCTATGCATCTAAACCGAAATATAAGTGATGAGAAATAAATAGATCACTGAAAATGAATATTTTAGATTATCTTGTAGGATTCCTCACTGTGTAATTCTAAGTTATAGTTGAATGTGAAGAATCTTAAGAATTAATAAGCGAATAATCGCTTGAGTTCGTGAGACAGTAAATAAACTTGAAAAGGGTTAAAAGGCCCTATATTATTCAAATAAGATTTAACAGAACTCCGTCTTGGAGTTGTACAATAAAGCCGACACTCGAACTTGAACTTAAGAGACTAAGAATTAAACTAAACTAATCTTAGTTAAAGGAAATATAGCCGAAGCTATCAAGATTCTAACGGAGTTGGCCCCTTAACGCTAATTGACTGCGAAGCTATCAAGGGCCTAAGTACGGCCGAGCGTAATAATAGATTAAGACAGAGTAGTCCACTAAAAAGCCGAACGCGTGCCAGCCAGAATATCTGGTATCTCTCCGACTAATACAGTAGAACTTTATTCGAGGTTAAAAACCACTCTTCTTCAATTAACATTCAGACGTGATTCTAAAACTACGTTCTGGCCGGAAGTGGTAAGTTAAGAAGCGATAGGAAAGAAAGTTTAACTCAACTATTAATAAAATTAATATAATCCTCACAATCTAAAATAAGTCTATTATTGTGACTTATCTCATTTTTCTGACAGTAACATCAGAACAAGTCCATGAAATTCATCGGAGCAAGGAGTGCAAGACTGGACCTGTCGTTGGCAAGAGCACCATACCGGTCACAGTACGACTT